TGTGTATCTGACTATGTGTGTGTATCTGACTGTGTGTGTGTATCTGACTATGTGTGTGTATCTGACTGTGTGTGTGTATCTGACTATGTGTGTGTATCTGACTGTATGTGTGTATCTGACTATGTGTGTGTATCTGACTATGTATTTGTGTATCTGACTATGTATGTGTGTATCTGACTATGTGTGTGTATCTGACTATGTGTGTATATCTGACTATGTATGTGTGTATCTGACTATGTGTGTGTATCTGACTATGTGTGTATATCTGACTGTATGTGTGTATCTGACTATGTGTGTGTGTGTATCTGACTATGTGTGTATATCTGACTGTATGTGTGTATCTGACTGTGTGTGTGTGTGTATCTGACTATGTATGTGTGTATCTGACTATGTGTGTATATCTGACTGTATATGTGTATCTGACTATGTGTGTGTGTGTATCTGACTATGTATGTGTGTATCTGACTATGTGTGTGTATCTGACTGTATATGTGTATCTGACTGTGTGTGTGTGTATCTGACTATGCGTGTGTATCTGACTTTATGCGTGTGTATCTGTATGTGTGTGCGTTTGTATCTGGCTGTATGTGTGTATCTGGCTGTGTGAGTGTCAGTGTGTGTGTATCTGGCTGTGTTTGTGTCAGTGTATGTGTACCTTTGTGTCAGTGTTTATGTGTATCTATGTGGATGTATACCTGTGTCCGTGTACTTGTGTGTCAGTTTGTATGTGTACCTGCGTGTCTGTGTATGTATATGAGTGTCAGGTTGTGTAAGTGTGTATCTATGCGTGTGGCAATGCATACGTTCCATCATTCCAGTACCAACACTGCACACATATACACTACTACATTCCAACGCTAACACTGCACACAAATACACCACTGCATGTGTATCTGTGTTCCTGTGTGTATCTCAGTGTTTGTGTAAGTGTGCATCTGTGTGGCAATGCATACATCCCAGCATTCCTTTGCCAACACTGCACAAAAATACACCCCTGCATGTGTACCCGTGTGTCTGTGTGCATCTTAATGTGTGTCTATATCTGTGTCAGTGTGTGTAAGTGTGTATCTCTGTGTGTGGATGTGCCAGTGTTTTTATCTTTGTATCTGTGTGTGTGTGTATGTATGTATGTGTCTGTGTGTGTATACGCCAGTCTGTTTGTATCAGTCTGTGCATGTGTCCAGATGTGTGCATGTATCAGTGTGCTAATGTGTATGGATATCTGTGAATGTATGTCATACATCCAAGCAATCAAACACAACATGCAAACACACCCCTGCAAACACAAACATTACATACAAACACGCCCCTGAATTCAAACTCAAAAAGTATATAGAAACACACCCCTTCACTCTAACACCAATACTACACCGTACATGCACACACATACTCTATACAACAACATGCTCACATTCAAATTTACAAACACTGCTCACAAATACAGCCCTGCAAGAATGACCAAATGGTAGATCCCCAACTGGCATAGCTTCGTGGGAATTGTACAACAGATGAGGATCTATCTTTTCTCCATTATTGTGCTAGATGGGAGGCCCAAAAAAATGTCTTGCACCTGGGCCTTCTCTACATTAGTTATGCCACTGTATTGTGGTGGAGGGCATGACTGCATGCCAGGGGGTGGAAATGTGTGGAGGGGAAGGGCAGGATCCAGGGGGCCCAAGCAAATGCTTGCCCAGGATCCAATCAATGTTAAAGACAGCCCTGTATGCCTTCTTGAAGAAGTGAGTTTTAAATGATTTTTTGAATGAGTGATGACTGGGTGAAAGTCTTACAGAGAAGGGAAGGGAGTTCCACAGAAGAGGTGCAGCCCTGGAGAAGTCTTGGAGGTGAGCATTAGAGGTGGGAGTGCGGACAGAGGATATATATGTAGGTCTTTGGCAGAGTGTAGGGGCCTCAACAGGACATAATTGTGTATTAGGGAGGATAGGTAGGTTGGAGCAGCATTATGTAGGGACTTGTAAGGAAGCACCAGAATTTTAAATTGAGCCCTATATCTAACTGGAAGCCAGTGCAGGGACTGACAGAGCAGAGAGGCGTGAGAGGTGCGGGCGGACAGGAAAATGAGCCTCGCTGCTGCATTCATTATAGATTGCAGCGGTGCAATCTGGGAACACGTAAGACCACTGAGAAGGGTATTGCAGTAGCCAAGGCGAGAGAGAACAACAGCATGGACTAGAACCTTAGCTGCATCCGGAGTTAAATAGGGGCGGATGCGCGCTATGTTTTTGAGATGGAAGAGACAGGATTTGGCGATTGATTGGACATGAGGGGTGAAGGAGAGGTCGGAGTCGAAAAGGACACCCAGGCAGCGAGCCTGCAAGGTAGAGGTGATGGTAGCGCCGTTGACTTGGAGGGAGACAGACATGGGAGTAGCAACACTTGAGGGAGGAAAGACCAGAAGTTCTGTTTTGGACAGGTTGAGTCAGTGTATATATTGCAAGACATTGCACTCAATTATCCGCATATTACAATAACGAAGAAAGGGACGTCACCTTCCAACACAGAATGAAAATAAAATACATTAATAAAAAATATAGGAAATATAAGTAAAGGAGAAGAAAAGGTAATGCTGCAGGGCTTAGAAGGGGGGTAAGTGGCAACATTCCTAGCTCTACAAGCGCCTCTATTGTCCCAGGTTAGATTCCCATGGCAACCATGTTTTACGGAAAGCAGAATGCATTATATGGTAATGCATTAAAAATATTGGCAAAAAAGTTAATAAAAAAAAAGATTTTTCAAAAAAGGTACTTACTCTTTCTGTTGTGTGTCGTAGCACTGTTACTAGCCTTGCAGACTCGTTTCAATTCCTGAATTTCAAGCTGAATTATACCAAAATTATGGACTCAAAGAACCACACAATGCCAACCATGTTTGGGGTTGGAATTAATATTCCAAAATCTGCCGGTGGCACCAGAAAACTGTTTATTGACGGGAGATAAGGAAAAAGATGATTGATGGCTGGGGGACAGTGTCAATAAATGTTGATTTCATTTACAGATCAACTAAGAAGGTAGGAAACAACAGGAGGAGCAGTAACATGTGTGTGTATATATATATATAAAATATATAGTATATTTATAATATATAAACAAAGAAATACAGTGTTTCAACTGCTCCTTCTGGTTTTCCCTCTATTTCCCACTTCTTTTTCTGAATTGGTCTGTCAAATAGTATGTATCAGTGTACTATAAAATAGATACATAATGTTATGTGTATATTTTGCAGCACACTAATTGGCCCGTTTTAACACCTTTTTTGGTTTATTTTTCTGATTTGTGCCCAAATTGACCGTCAGGTCAAAGGGAACCAACATCTGGCGAAAGTTAAGGTGTCCCGAAATTTTATTTTATTTTATTTTTGGAAACAATGATTTGGCATAGCCGCAACCATGCAAAAGTCTACTGTTTAGTGGGTCAGCCTAAAACTGCCTCTCTTTCTGGTCTGTGGGATCAGATTTCTAATCCTATAATTTCCTGTCTAGCAGGGGGTTATGCAATGAGTAGTTTATTGCCAATTAGCAGTTCAAATGATCACAAAGGATGATTTGAATTACTCTTTAATCTTATAGCAGTCATACCATAGTTGCTGTCACCTTATACAATGCCAGGTTCACTTTAGTTTAGAGCCATAGACTGTGCAGGTAAGAGAGAACGTCTTTCCTTGTGTGATCAGAGAGCACATGGCTTGCACAATGAACAGCATTGACAAAGGCAACTCAAAACGAACTGTTTTTTTGGACTGCTTGATTGATGGTCCTAATAGGTTGACTTAAACAACAGACACTTTACAAACCATTGCTGCTAGAGCTACCTTTCAGAAATTAAGGTGGGTTCAAGGTTTTCTAAGCGCTCTGCACTTTGCAATAATATGAAGTACTTATGGTGCATAGACTGGCCCTTAATGCTTAGTGAATAGCACCCCTAGGCTTCTAGCTAAAATGTGAGTTTTGTTGATTTGAGAAATGACTTGCAGCATTTAGGCAAACCTCCAATTCATCCCAGGCTGGATTTATTTTCTGACTTTTATTTTTGTTCTTCAGTTTGTTCTCTTGTCATAATAACTTGCTGTTTATTGAATACACTTGTTTGTCTTTTTATTAGACAAATCTGTAGAATGGTGAGTTTCTTTAATTTAGTGTTTTTAAGTGTTTAGCTTAACTGCTTAGCAGAGACTTGTGAAAAAGTCAGTGGGTTTGAGATGGAGTGGCACGTTTTGGCGATCGTTTTGCCTCCCATTCTTTGCGTTACACATTGAAGAGCCATCGGAATTTATTTAGCGAGGGGCCACAGCTGTTATTTTCAGCCACTAAGAGCTTTTTTGGCTGCAAACAGAAACTGCAACTGCTTATCATCCATTTAAAAAGCCATTAGAACCTTAAAATAGAGGAGCGGCTCACCTTGCTCTACAGAACCCACAAGGTCAGCAAAAGTGGACAGTTATCTTATTAGCATATGGCTGAAAGCAAGTTCTTCTAATTTATCCACCTGTCCCACTAAATAAATGTCTTATTGATTTCATGTACAAGAGATACTTTGTTATCTCAGTGTCTGACTTTTTTTAAGTAAAGCTATTTTGCATGATTAGAAAGTCAGAAGCTGTCTTAGATGTCCATTATTCAAACACATTTTGAAGAACTGTGGATCTACTGAGCTTAATATACAATCTGCGATGATATCCTATGACAAGCCAAGCTGATGGTTTGGGTTTTGTGTACCGAGTAATCGTCCATTATTTGTGGAACTGCTAAAAAAAAAAGGGGTTCAGTAAAAGACTGAAGGACTGAATCCTTACAGTACTTGCACCATAACTACTACAGTACATAGTAAGGGTATAGTGATTGGAATGTCTTTTTATTGTAGTACACATTTAAAGTAGAAATGTTATTTTCCAGGATATTATGTCTAATTAAAAAATACAATGAAATTTAGAATTCCACATGTCTTTATCCTGCAACAGGGTGCCTCCATTTGAGCTCCCTGTCAATCATTGTTATAAGTTCTGTCCTTTGCACCAGACAGTCAGCCTAGAGAGAACATTCAGTGAAGAGAAGAAATTAAACAATGTTTCTATTACTCTTTTTCATTCGCAATATTTGCCCTGTCTGAACGGCGTTGTGGCGTAATTTGCTGAGTCTTCAATATGACTTCCACATAACTTAACATTTGGGAAACATTTTATGAATAAATAAATGTGGTATTAAAAGATCAACATGCAACATAGAATGCTGGGCTTTTGTCTATGAAATGTTAACTTTCAACGGTGACAGAGTAGAAAGCTTTGTGACCTGAGAAAAAAGTTCAAACAAAGTCACTTCACTCTGTAGAGTTGCATTGCAATGAAGAATTACCCTTTGCTGTCTGTTTCCCGAATCACAATAGAGTGGAATGCTTCCGTCGGAACATTGTTTCATTCCTTGATGTGATTATTGTTTAAAATTCAGAGATTATGAGGTCAAACTCTCTCAGCCAATATTTTGTAATGAAAAATGTAGCTGGGCACGACTCAGTAATTTAATCTATAAGTAAAGTGTTCCATGCCACAGTGAGTTTCGCAGACAGATCTTCAATAAATCTTGTTTTGAGAAAAATGATACGAGTCTGATGCTCTACTTTTGTCGATGAAGTGAACTTTTTTCCACCCCTCACAGAGCTCCTCTTATCAACCAATTGAATTGGATTTGTAATGAAGAGAGACTCCATTAAATGGCAACCCACTGCCCGGCGGTGTAAAGAGTATATTTTGTGGATTTTGTTTTGTATCTTTAACAGGACGTATGTATCCATGATCTACTGAGTGATCACACTTATTGTGCAATGTCATGAAAATAAATACAGTTTTTGTATATAGAGAAAATTGGTGCTCCCAGCTGAATATTCAGTAAAGGCAACCT